ATCAATCAATCCACCTATTCTTTCTTTATTTATTTCTAAATCTGCTAAGATTAGTTGCCCTTCTTCTTTTCTCATTTCAATCCAAGCTTGGCGACGAGTGGCCAACTCATCACCCATGCCAGCGAGGGAACCTCCTAGAGAAGTGCATACACTTACCACTTCTGGACAGCTAGCTAGGTGAGGACCGTCATTCTTTTCAGTTTCTGCCACAGAAGCCTCGAGATGGGAGGATGTCAGTCTGTTTGCATCCAAGGCTCCTGTAAGGGCAACTGAAACCCCTGCTGGTTGTTCCCTTTTGGTTGCTTGTAATCTGGACAGAAAGGAACAATGTGGTTGGGGTCACCACATTTGAGGCACTGACCAGCAGTTTGTTTTCTTGCCATATCTTTTCGTCAATTCCCAATTGCCCCCACGGTTTGCCTTGGGGCAAACCTGGATGAGGTGGATATGGTCAGTTCCAGTTTCCATTCCATGTGCCTCTTTCTCTTCCCCATGTGGAGTTAGGTCCTCGGCCACCTTGCGAGGGACCATTGCTCCTTCCACCCACGTAGTAGCTACCTTTGCTACCACCCCTCGGGGTGCCGGGTCCTTTACCTCCACGTCCACAGCCTCCTCCTCTGCCACGGCCTCTTCCTTGTCGCCCTCCCCCGCGCGCTGCAACGGAGCCGTAGTCGCCCTCCTGAACTACCAGTCCGTTGGGTGCATCTCCGTCTATACCATAATCTATTTGGTCATATGACAGAGTTTCAAAACCTCCTTCAAAGGTCAGAAGGAGGTTGTCCTTCCTAGGGATACTTCTTGAGACAGTGCGATTTTGCCATTTCTTATCGGCCTGCAAGTCTTTCCAATAATGACAGTAATTGGCTTTGGCCAAAAAACCGGCATGATCTATCGCAATCTTGCTGAATTTTTCATATGTCATCCCCTCTTCTTTGGTGCGGGGATATAACTGGGTACGGAGAGGATCAGGTAGTGCTCTAGCAAAATTATTGAGAATTTGCGTTGAGGTGAGCCCATGTTCAGCGCATTGCAACAGTTCATCCATGGTAGCTTTTAGTGCAGACACACTCTTCCACTTTCGATCAGCAATATTTAAGATTAGCATTGCAGTTCTTTTGGCTATATTCTTATCTTCAAATCTTTCTCGAAGTGCCTTAAAGAAATCTTCGATACAAGTTTGCTGAGAATACTCTATCATAGACTGACAACCTGCTTCTTTCTCAAGAGAATATGCAAAGCTCATTACGTCCCCAGCCATACACGAACTAGCCATGAGAACTCTATCCCAGTATGGGATGCGCTGACCATACACATAGGACTCCATTGTCGCAATCCAATGCAATAAACTCTCTTCCTTTTTACCTGTATATGTCCACGACACTTTTACTTTTATCTTCCTTATCTCTTCTACTTCTTCCTTTTGCACTCTCCATCTCCATCTCCATTGCTACCTCCTCCTCCACCACCGCGGAGTATCTTCTCAATTACTTCCGGACACCAACTTCTTATCGATCTGATCACCCAACCTATTCATATAATCTTCCATGTGCTGGTCTATTTCTTGAGCCGACCGTTGAAGGAAGGTATTCCAAATTCCCTCAAATTCAAATTGGCGGCTTTCAATCTTTTGAACGGTGTTTCCTATCGCAGCAAGTTCTTGTTGTGTGTGGAGAACAATTCTTGTCAAAGGGAGAGTTGTTGTTCAGTTGCAAGCTATTTTTCTTTTTGTGCTCCAAATTCTTGTCGTAATCGTTCCCCTTCTTCATTCAATATTTTCCTTTCGTCCAATTCCTGTCTTTTTGCTGCCAACAATTTATTATGCAGTTCAGCTCTCTTTTCGGCTATCAACAATTCTCTCTCGGCATCATCCTTCGCTGCCTCCATCTTCGCAACAAAAGCATTTTTCTCTTCTTTTGTTTCCACAACTCTCTCCCCTTTATATCCATATTCAGCAAACCAGCAAACCAGTTCAGCTGCATAATGGGTCGTCCTCCAGACTGACTACTTTCTCTCCTTTCCGCCCTGCATCTCACTAATCTTTCTCCTTCATCTTCTTCTTCTTCTTCAATCTCTTCAACTCCTCCTGCAACTGCTTTTCCAATTTCTCTTTTAACTTTTTTTTCAACTTCTCTTCTTCCTCTTCTGCCTTTTTCTTTATTTCTTCCTCATTTACTTTCTTTTTCCTTTCTTTTTCTTTTTGCTTTTCTGCCAGGAGGCGAGCTATCTCAGCCTGCTCTGCAGCAGAAATCCCAGGCTTTGTCTTCCCTGATCGCAACGTCATCATATGGAAGGTACACATCCTTCTGAAGCCAAGGGGGAAGAAGAGGTTGAATAGTGGCCCCAACAAGACTGAGAGGGCCACCATCCCTTACATGGGATAGTCGTCCATGGTGAGTGAAAGAACAGGGATAGCCTCCGCTAGCTCACCAAGTAGCTACCCCGAGTCCTACCAAGATCGGTATAGGGCGGCTAGGATTTTTTAATTTTTTTTTGAAAATCTAATTGTGCGCTGCTTTCAGAAGTCAACCAAAAATCTACAAAAACAATATACAATACTACATGCGTAGCACGGCGAACGTGTTCGCGCCTGGTCAGATTAGGCAGACCAGTAACACTCTAGACCAGACCTGACAACAGACCTGGAAAGATAACACTCCAGACCAGACTCGTCAACAGACCAGACAGCAGCAGCGCCCACCAGAGGAATTGGGGAAGGTACCACACAACCACACAATCACACGCAACAGGTTTGAGGCCAGGGGTGCTTCTCTTCTTCTGGCATCCGCTGATAAAGCTCCACGATACCGCGCCACGCTCCAACGCTCCAGCAGGTATGTATCTCTCCTTAGCCCCTTCTTCTTCGGCACACTTCCCCTCCTAGGTCCCAACCACCTCCTTTCCTTCTTCTCACATCATCTCTACCATCATCTGTTTCTTGCCAGCCTCTTACATGCCGGCAATCTCCAGTGAGAGTAACGAGTACCGCTCCGATACCAATTGCAATGAACCTTGACGCTCACCACACGATGGAATGTTCAGACAGCATGCATTTATCTCAGCATCACAAAAGTATAGTCGCACACATCTCAGAAATGAAAGCCGAACAAAGACCAGTAGCGCAACTCAATTATCAAAACCAGTTCGTAGAGAGTGAACCATGTCACCAGATCACCCAGCGCTCAACCAAGATAACAAGTCTTCTCCGATCATCCAGAGTTTTCACCCAACGCTTATCAGCGCATGCCCAAGGCATCAAGTTCAGCACTCACTCTGGTATGTTCCACCATAGCCCTCTCTCTCTTCTCTCTCTAACTAGTCTTAGCCTTCTCCCCATGATATCTCCTCCTTACTATGCATGCACACTCCCTCTACATACACACACACCCATGAGGATCTCCTCTAAATACTACTCACTGGTCCCTATTGCTATACTAACCCCCTACTTCTAACACCTGGTACTGGCGCAGCTATGGCTGCCTTTCCGCAAGCCAGCACTCTCCTTCTCCTTGCTCATCACCTCGGCGCTGCTCTCTGGCATAGCGCTGCTCCCCACATCTGGCGCACAAGTGCCTTCAGCACTTCCATGCACTCATGCGAATGAGCCTTTTTTTTTAAATGCGAGGGTGTTGGCTGAGCCAGCCTCTTGATCAATTTGTGCCTGGGTCCCATGCCCATTCCCTGTTGTCACGATTTGTGTGTCCCAGTACCTTTCTCAAAGGGTTGCTGCTGCTGTGACCGCCGTCCTACCTTTTGGACTCTTGACTTGACTTCAGACTCGGCTTAGGGGACTGTGACTGGACTGGGCCTTTGACCTTTGACTATACTCCGAACAGACACAAATGCAAGGAAAATGACCGATAGGCAACTTCAGAAATCAAACAGCATCATACACATGAGATCAGATAGTCGTGACCTCCAACCAATAGCAGAATTGCATCACGAGTTTCACCAAAAAAGTGCACAGCAACAGCTCATAATTGACAATGCTGGATTAGTCTCATCATCATCAACGAAGAACCATTGTCGATCCTATCTGGCGCTGGGCGCCCAGACTACAGATGGCAGATCCTATCTAGCCTATCTACGATGCTGCTGATGACGTCAACAGCTCGCCGAAGTACGAGCAGATCTCGGCCAATGTTATTCGCCTCAAGCACCAGGTATGTCTCTCGTATCACTCACAACCTCGATCCCCAACTCACAGATGCCACTTGCACCCAAGAACCACCATGCACCCCATCCAGCATACAGCAGCGCAGCTCCGCTATGGCTGCCTGCTCCTTCCAGCTCACCCGTGAGCGCGTGAGCTCTGGCCAGCATTAACGCAGCAGTGCTTGCGCAGCATGCAGCCAGTGCCCGAAATGTGTGGGCTGGCCCTTTCCTAAATCGAAGTGGCCTGCCAACTTGCGTGCAGCCTGACTGCGTTGGACCCCTGCCCAGAAGCTTCCGGTAGGCCCAGGGAGGCTGAGCCCCAGTCCAAACGAATCAGACCCTGGGCCTGTGGTGGTTGCCCGTGTCGAACTGCCCGCAGCCTGTGTTCGGTCCATGTTCCGTATCTGGCCCAGGGCCTGCCTCTGTTACACACGAAAAAGGCAGCCTGGGCCTGGGCACTCTCAACCAACTGGTGCTGCGCAACTGCCTGAATTTGCCCAGTTGCGTGATGACCCCAAAAAGAGGCCTGTAGGCCCTGGGTCTAGCCTGCCTTCACTAAGCGTGGCCGACTGTACAGAAAATAGGGCCCAGTAGGGCAGATCGAGACCTTGAGCCTCGCACAAACTTTACTCGGCCTCAAATGTGACTGTACAGACAGACACGACCCTTACTCAGTTTCAGACGTGACCCTCCAAATAGGACCTGAATGTGACCTTTGGGAAATTATTTTTTCATTTTAGTTTGGACATGACTTTTGCTTCAGGGACTTCGTCTTTTGAGATGCTGACTCGTAACTTTAAGTTCTGGCCCACGTTGGGTTTGAATGTGGGGTTTGAATCGTGAATCCCCTTTCAATTGCAGCCATATGCATACAGGAGTATGCCCTCAAGCGAGCAGCAAAAAAGAAAAAGAAAAGAAAAGTTGAAAGGAAGACAATTGCAAGAACACCGACAGAAGAAAATATAAAAATAAAAATCATTCACATCCGAAACATTCACTGACAGAAGGAAAACAAGATGAGCAACTACAAAACAAAAATTATAAGGAAAATAAAACACGATAGCACCCTGATTATGCCATGATAATCACTGCTTCATCCAAATTTGTGTTCACGAAAAGTCCACTCATACTCTCTCTCTCTCTCTCTCTCTCTCTCTCTCTCTCTCTCTCTACATAATAACTCCGCGCCAGAGACATCGAATCTTTAGACCACGTAACTTCTCCAAGACCGTGTTGATGGCCACTTCAAGGCTCGAGGACGGAGTGTGGTACATACTCGGGGACACAACTCGGGGAGTCGCGGGTGGAGTGGAGAACGGCGGTGTGACGGAAACAGCAGGCGAATGGAACAAGTCCACTTCTCCTACTGCCGGCCTGCTGTCGGCAATGCTGCACTCTGGCGTGGCTTCAGTATCGCTGGGAGTCCAATGGAATGACTCCACTTCTACTGGCGGCCCGCTGTCGGCAATGCTGGACTCTAGTGTGGCTTCAGTATCGTTGGGCAGCTCCTGCTGGGCAGCCATCTCTGCCTGGGCGACGAGGTATCTTTCCTCCCATGTCCTGCCCATGGCGGCAACCATCACCCGCATTCTCCTGGTCTGGGGACTACAGCAATCTACATACCGCATTCTGCCCGTCAGAGGATCTCTGTAGCGGGGCCGTTCTCCTCCTTCTGATGATGACTCTGCATACGAACTCCGACGGCAGCACCCTCCTTCCCTGCAGGCTGCAGATCCTGATTCTCCTGGTCGAGTCCTCGGCATCTCCCCCAATAGCCGCTGAAGCCGCTGTCTTCACCTTGTGCCCCACTGTGAGCACCTCGAACACTGCCTCTGTGTGTGTGTGTGTGTGTGTGTGTGTGTGTGTGTGTGTGTGTGTGTGTGTGTGTGCACAAACTGAAAGAATGGTCACCGAAGATATACACGTGAACAGTGCTGTTGGCTTCGACGAGATCATGCATGAGCTCTAAACCATTCGGGGCGCGAGCAGATATGGTCCTCAAGCGCATACCGCAAAGCCTTGTCGGCTGCGTTGTCTGCCTGAGTTGTGCGTTGCCTGACTAGCCGGAATATCACGTTCCCCGCTCTCCTCTGACAACCATGTCCAAGGACGGCCAACATCCTCACCCAAATCAACGAGGATGTTATGCAAAATGCAAACTGCGTGGAACTGTTCTGCTAATGTATTCACATTTGGTCGATGCTACTTGTAGACGTTGCGAAACCGCACCTTCAGCACTCCGTTCCCACTTTCGTTATCCACTCGTACAACCTTCGATCGTGCATCAAATGCAGCAGTGTCCCTGTTCGCATTCCTGGGACCATGAGGGGTAATGAGCCAGGAGAGGAGGGGATAACCCGCATCCGCCAACAAATATCCTCATGGTGCATCCACAACACCCTGCAGACAGACTGGCCGGTCCTGCTCTACAAATAGTTGCCCTCGCTGCGCGCAGCAGTAGAGAGAAGAACTTCTCAAAACCATGAAATTGTGCACGGTGCCCGGATGTCCGACGTTCAGATCCAGAATGCGTAAGTGATGATCAAAAACAATTTGTGCGACAATTGAAAAACGCTTCGTGCACCCTGAACAATAATCATCCCCACAAGCACGTGCAGGCTTTTCTATATATATATGGCGGCAGTCAATGCACCCCCAGCAGCCAGGGAAGCCGTGCTCTGCATACCATGCCATAGACGCAGCACGATCCTCGGGTGAACCGAAGGTTATTGCAGATGGGAAGCTGGACAAAAGAGCGTGCGTCACATCTTCCACAGCGCGCAGGCCCGAAGCTCTGCCCATCCCATACGCACTTGTGCTGTGCCCGTAGCTGTCGCTGCTCGCCATCGATGAACTGCATAAGCCAGGAGTTGTGCAGGGTGTAGAGGCTGCCTGAACCTGGTCACTTGCCTCTGCAGGTGAGGCGTCAGAATCTGTACGAGCATCTCAAACGTGCTCCTATTCATACGAAGAAGTGCCATGTAATGATCTTCTTCAGCATCATCTCTAACTCGGAGATCCTCCCACAGACCACCCGCACGGCGCATCACCCACCACCGCGGCAGTTCACGAGGCATCAGATCCGCTATCTCTGTTATGATGGGCAGCATCATCCCGGCACGCTGGAAATCCAACTGATCAGTAGACAGTCCGCCAGGAATACTGGGCGGAGCACTTGCCGCACGCATGAGTAAAGTGCCTGCATTTCTGGCCTCCAACAAGCTGTCAATGGGCTGCACAGCTTCCTCCATACCCTTAACCACTGCAAACAACAGCCCGACGTCCATCTCTCTCTCTCTCTCTCTCTCTCTCTCTCTCTCTCTCTCTCTCTCTCTCTCTCTCTCTCTCTCTCTCTCTCTCTCTCTCTCTCTNTCTCTCTCTCTCTCTCTCTCTCTCTCTCTCTCTCTCTCTCTCTCTCTCTCTCTCTCTCTGTGTGTGTGTGTGTGTGTGTGTGTGTGTGTGCTATGCCCTCTCTCTCTCTGTGTGCTATGATCTCTCTCTCTCTCTCTCATCACACACACAGACCGAGGGACAAATTCGCAGTGCACTCACGAAGACTGTGCGAGTGCAGCGGGCCCTGAGCACGGTTACACTAGCAAAGTAAGGTAAAAGTGTTTGTGCGAAAGTGACTCTGCGGTCCTTCGGGACATCTGTTAAAATTGGAACGATACAGAGAAGATTAGCATGGCCCCTGCACAAGAAAAGAAAAAAAAAAAAAAACGAAAGTGTCTGTGCGGAAGCTCATCCAATTGCTTGTATGCATCTGTACAGAAACACGTCCAGATTCATGCGAGTCATCCATCCTCTTGGATGCTTGGTGGTCGCCCCTGCTTTCGAGAAGACGAGCTCCTCCCCTCCCTCTCACCCTCTCCGACCTTTCCTCTCCTCGCCCGGCTCCCCACCTCGCCAACCACCGATGAAGAGGAAGTAGATGCAGTGCTACAGTGCGCCTTGGAAAAAGGCCTGAATCTGAACATGTTTGTGCGTCAGTTCATTCAATTGCTTAGGGCCAGATCCCACTGGCAAAGAGGATTGGAATACGTGTCTGAATCTGGAAGGTTTCCACGCAGACATGCAGAAAAGCAGATAAGTCACAGTTGTTTGCACTTATCCACAAACACGAGCAGGTTCAGACACTTGTCCAATCGTTTTTTGCTGACTTGCCTAAGGACGAGATCCCACTGGCAAAGAGGATTGGAATAAGTGTCTGAATCTGGACGTTTTCCACGCAGACATGCAGAAAAGCAGATAAGTCATAGTTGTTTGCACTTATCCACAAACAAAAGCAGGTTCAAAGACTTGTTCCAATCCTTTTTGCCAGTGGGATCTCGTCCTTAGGCAAGTCATCCAATCTTCATGCATAGTTGGCCGTCTGGGATGGTGGGTAATGCCCAAGAAGTCGTAAGTGACGGTTGCTATGAGGGAGTCCGTTAGTGTGCGTGACGGGACTGGCTAGTGACGGTCTCATTCTAGAACCGAGCCCATTTCCCTACTTTGCTGTAAGAAATGAAGTACTCGAGGGGTTTGCTACTGACCCCAAAAAGAAGCACGGTCAATACAAACGACTTGAGTACTTGTTTTTTTTTTTCGGTTTTCGACAGCCTCCAATCAAAAAGAGACTTGTTATTTTTCTCCCCACATCCTGTTATTCACAACAATAAAAAAAAAAGACAAAAAAAAAACAACTTTTAATTTTTAAATATACAAACATCTTTATTTTACTGCCCTCAGATTTCGATGCACCAACGGCCGGCGGATGTCCCACAGACATCCCACAGGTGTCGCCGTGGGACAATATACCTTACTCGGTTGCTAGTGGAACCCTGCTCCTGTCCAGATTCGACAGGTAATTGAATTGGTTGGGCTTAAATGAATTAGGCTTTAAAAAAAAAGGGCCTTTTCCCCAAAAAAAAAAAAAAATCCGGTCCGAGTCAGCTTGGACAGCCAGACGGTCAGGTTCATTATTTGCACGAGGCAGCAAAACCGACCAGATACACTGACAGGGGCTATAATGGGATTTCGGAAAATGGTAAACCCATGGCGGTAAGTAGTCCCATCAGAAAAGGGCCAAGGACTAGCCATATGGGCTCGCCCCACTACGCATCAGACGTGAAATATGGGGAGTGCATCTTCACGTAAAAGTGGCAAAACCACAACTATGAAAAGTGGCCGATGTATCTGGCTACCTGTCATGTGAAGATGCGCCATGTATCACGCCTGCTGAGTAAACCAGCCAGGCCCATAGAGAACGAGGCAGTCATGTGACTGCCTCGAGAAGACAAGGTGACAAATAAGGCCATCACAGAATGCTCTAAGCTTCTGATCCGACAGTGGGTAAACTGGAGAATTTTGTTGAGAAATGCGCATCCCACAACTTTCCCATGTAGGAGGGTGCAGCTCTTTGCTAGGGGTACGTTTTCGGTTTTTGTGTACGTGGCACGAAGTCCGTGATGGACGGCCCAACGGAGCTACACAAAATGGAAAGCTCGAGGACCCCTACCCCTACCGAAAAAGCTGACTATGCGGCTCTTTGCTAGGGGTACGTTTTCGGTTTTTGTGTACGTGGCATGAAGTCCGTGATGGACGGCCCAACGGAGCTACTCAAAATGGAAAGCTCGAGGACCCCTACCCCTACCGAAAAAGATGCCTCATTTCTCTGTCCGCCCGTGGTGAAAATGGGCCAGGTTCCACTCTCTCCTGGCCGTTGGCAGATGCTGTGTCACCCACTTGGGGATGCCAGGCCATAGGGTGGTCCACAGGAATGTCCGTCACCATGGAAGGCCAAAAAATCCCACCCCAGTCCTTGGGAAAGACCCGCGGATAGCATTCGTGTGGGGTCCAAGTTTGCTTTTCCACCCGATCCTACCCGTTGCCTTCTTTTTAGGGACTTTCGTGTTTGTTTTTTTTTGTGTATTGTGGGATCAGCGCCTAACGCCAATCAAGAAAAGGATAAAGGAGAACAAGAAATGGATAACCTTACCAGAAAGAGGCCTGTTGGTCTCCCCATCTCTCTCTCTCTCTCTCTCTCTCTCTCTCTCTCTCTCTCTCTCTCTCTCTCCCCAAAAAAAATACGCACTCATACACACACATACGCACAACAAACACATCCAACACTCGGATGTCGACGGGTCACATAGTTTCTAGTCTGCCTGCCTGCATGCAGATTGCTTTGCAGTACCCATCCGCAGAGAAAGGGAGACCTTAGAGAGGGATGAGGACGTAGTTTCTCGTTCGACTTCCCAGGCAGTTTTCACAGCGTGAGACCTTTTCGGCGAATCCAGCTCTTGTATCATTTCGGCAAGGGATCCATTGTATCTTTCCGGTTCGGTACAGACAGAATCACGTTGTATTGTGCTCGGGGGAAAACAGTAGTGAAGGGAGAAAAACTGAGAAAGGCGATTGCGAGAGAGAGATACGAGAGATAGCGGGAGAGGCTTGTTCGGAGAAGACTATCGAGTCGATAGCACCCTGTCATCAAGAAGCGAGCATGCAGATCAGATCTTCCCCAGAGTCGGGCAATCCTCCCCAGAGTCGCGCAATCCTTCACCCATGCAATACCACCTTTCATGAGAAGAGGGTACTATGATTTGTGTACGAATTGTCCTCGAAGTCATATTTACTCAGCACGGTCGTTATACTCTTTCATTGGGGATTATCCACTAGAAGGAACGACAAAGAGAGAAGGAGAGGAGGGAGGGGAAGGGGGGAAGGGGATATCCCTGTCTCTTATACACATCTAGATGTGTATAAGAGACAGACTTTGAAAGATCTACAACCCTATATTTTTTATTTGTTTTTTTGTTTTTGTTTTAGCCCTTAAAAAATATGTGTGAAACCCAAAAAAAAAACACTT